CACACACACACACACACACACACACACACACACACACACACACACACTCCCCCACCCCCAATGCTTAGCACCCAGAAGACACTTAATGATTGGTAGCCTGTCTTTTCCTTTTCCTCTTAAATTGTGGGCATACACTTACCATTCCTTGTCTGTCCCAGGCTGAATAGAGACCTGAACAGCCTCTGTTCTTGGAATCAAGAATTTAAATAACTATTAAGTCTGCATCAAGAAGCCTGAGGAACTTGCTGCTTTCCCCATTAGAAGTTTACCCCTAGGTTTGACTTGACGGATATCAACACAATTTGTGTAATTGGAGTCTGCTTCCCTCCCAGTCCTCATGTTTGGTTCATATGTATGGATGTATAAGGGATTTTTCTTACTTGGAATCTGCATAGTATCTCCCCCTTTCTTCTCTTACTTCAGAACTAGGTCTGAACTTGCTTTTACCTTTTGATCTTCCTTCTGACCTCTTCTTAGAGAAGAAATTGCTAGCCATGACACCATATAACTGCAGAGTCTTCTCATTGGTTATAACTGAGCTGTGGTCCAGGGAGATTGTGACATGCCCAAGATCTCATAACCTCTTTCTTTCTTTTTTTTTTTTTTAAGATTTTATTTATTTGTCAGAGAGAGAGAGACAGAGAGAAAGCACAAGCAGGGGAAGTGGCAGGCAGAGGGAGAAACAGGCTCCCTGCTCAGCAGGGAGCCTGATTCGGGACTGGATCCCAGGACTCTGGGATCATGACCTGAGCCAAAGGCAGATGCTTAACGACTGAGCCACTCAGGTGTCCCATGATCTCATAACCTCTTAATCCAAGTCATGCATCCCATCTGTACCACCTACCAGTCCACTCAAGCAGCTCCTGGAACCTCAGTACAACCTGGAGTAAGAACTCCAGTTCTTTCTTTGGGCATCCATCCCTTTCAGTTTCTGCTCATTACTCCCCTTTTTATATTCAGGTTCCACGAGGCAGTGAGCCTTGTGGCTTCCCCCTCCTTCCCACCCCCACATGGGAGCAGGAGTGAAGTCTTGGCCTCAAAAGAGCTTGCTAACACTCCCTTCAGACTGTCCCATCACCAGTCCTTTCCATTTCTTGATGGGAAAAAAACACATCCTTTGTTTGAGCCTGTGATAGATTAGCATGGCTTGGAAGGAGTGCTGGCTTTCCGAACTCCTGTGGGTGTGTCTTCAGCTGAACAGTTCTCTCCTGACTTTGATTTCTCTCTCAGCAAGTGGGGGTGTAATTCGCCTTGACATCGCTGGCCATCAGCACCACACTGAAATGGGCCTTCTTTGACTCAAAGTGACAGCCCTTGGCCCCTGTGACATTGTTTCCATAGATTTGCAATGAAACAGTTTTATATTTTGCAAAATAGAGTGATCTCCTATGACTGGCATTGATGTGGTTTTGCCATGGTCTTCTGGAGGGTAGGGCTGTTTCCACTGACCCACCCTAAACTGGTTCCCCTTATTCTGGAATGTGGGCACATTGCTCTTAGGCTGCTTGGGGTGATGATTTTGTTTGTTTGGTTTTTTAATCATTGTTGAATGCCATAATATGTTCTGTCCTTGTGTAGACCCTACTTCTTGTTATTTTATTGGCTCCTAGTATTCCAAGACCTTTGTTGCCCATCAGAACCTTAACACTTCTGCCCTTCTACATTATAGTAGAAGGTGGTCAGTATCCTAGAGAAAAGTGAACTTGGTACCTACCCCTGGAAGGTGAGTTCTTCTGGTGCCTCTCACACTTAGAGACAATATGATGTATAGTCAGAGGGAGTATCAACCTCTTAAACCTTTGTCCAAGATGTGGAAATCTTTGGGGGAGATTACTAGAGGAAGGAATTGGGCTGTCCACTCATAGTTGGTCCTTTTCAGAGAAGCTGAAGTCACAATCTGGTTGTTCTCAGCATTTTATAAAAATACTTGGAGGCAGACAAGGATGTTTCATCATCCCATCTAAAAAAGGGCTGTTGTGATACGCCCCCCCCCTTTTTTTCCTAGAAGGCTCTAACCTTTGGACTTTGAAATTTATCATCTTAGCTAGCCAATATCAAATTATTAGGGAAGGCTTTACTAATATACTGTTAGATTTATTAGAATATTAAAATACTTCTAGAAATGTTATACTTTCTAAGCTTGCACCCGTCAGACTCCCACTCAAATGTTAAAACGTGCGGGGGGTGCTTAAAAAAAGATTTTCTTTTTTGCCACCAGGTGTCTTGTGGGGCAGGGACCAAGTTGTCTTTGTATCCAGTATAGGGTAGGCCTGTGTCTTGTTCAGCATACAACTGCTGAGAGGATCCCTAAAGAGTGCATTTTTTTTTTTTTCTGCTAAGAAGTTTTCCTCCTAGTGTCAGAGGATCAGGCAAGCCATCCCCCCCCCCCCCCCCCCGCACCAAGATGTCATGTTTGGGCTTTGCCTTGTCATGGCCTCTGCTGGTGAGAATTTTCAGAACAACTCCATGTGCGTATTTCTGACCTTGGCTTCTCCCTGTGGGTTGGGGGAGGAGTCCCAGGAGAGTGGATTCCTGGCAGAAGATGTGGTGAGCGCTTGAGCATGTGTTTGAGGGGAGATGGGATGTCAGGCTCTGGGAGTTCTCTGGAGCAGTCTCCCAAGACATTGTGACTATTTACATATTTTGAAAAAAAATAAAAGCAAACTTCTCAAAGGGATGGCTTTTCTTTTTACAGCCTCAGTTTGCACATTCTTTTAGATTCTAGCCTAGCTCTTTTTCTCTGATGGTTGTAAACTGTATGGCCCAACTTTCTAAATGGGAGAGGAGAGTTTTAATTGAGAGCCGGGGCTGCACGTAGAAGCCTCGGAATAGGAGTTGGGAGGTTGTCTTGTGAATTTTGGTTGAGGTAGGTGACCCTGCTACATAGGTGTTAGAAGTTGTTACAGTAGAGGAGGTTGAGCTTAAACACCCTCTTTGTTGGCGTTTGCCAGTCTGAATGTGTTTTTTCCCCGCTCCTACCCACTCCCTGTGTGAGTTTGTATTCTTTAGCCCCAGCTGTTTGCGATATTTCACTGTCAAATACATAATTAACAACTTTGTAAGCCAAGTTTAGTGTGTTTTTACATTCATGCACTGAATGTCTTTTCTGTCTTAAGCCAGTTACATCTTTTTTATTTAAAGCTGCCTCCCCTCCCGCCCCCAACAAAACCTGTTTCTAGAAAATTTGTCATTCTAACATCTTTCCAAAGAGTGAACTGTATCAAAGTGGACTTGGGAAACTGTATCAAAGTGGATTTGGGAATACAGATGTAGATTGTGGTGTGGAATTGCTTTGGAATTTGAAACTGGTTGTGTAGACTGAGCTGATGATGGATCCAGTTGTGAATAATTTTTTGAAACCGATGATGTCAGTGGCAGTTTTATGACTAGGATTTTGACAGATTAGCCTAAGTTGCTGGAATATGGGTGAGAAAGCAAGTCACAACTAAGGGTTGAGCCAATAAAGTAAAATCAAGGAGTTAAAAAAATTAAAGCTCTGTTTACATTTTTTCTTTGAAAGCACATATTATAGTGGATTCTCCCACAGTATATTTTAAGCATTTTTTTTTTCTTTTCCAATCTTAGGAAATTTATTGATATAAATAATCACATTAGGGTCAAAGGAGAAAACCAGATCATCTTAATAGAATTCAAAATTCATTTCTGATGAACTGTTTTTAGTTTATGCTGATAAACTAGCATTATATAGAGATTTAACAGGGTGGAAACTCTTTACTTCAAGTCAAAAGCAAACGTCCTGGGCTGTTTTGGCTGCAGGGCTGATGAGAAACTACTAAAGTTCCTGTGGAAGTAAAGTAGAATTTCCTAAGAACATGATGGAGAAGAGAAAACGTATGGTGGCTGTGAAGGCCCTGATGCCTTGTATGTCAAATTGATATCTTCGGGTGGTCATGAATTTATTGTAAAAAGAGAACATGCACTAACATCTGGAACAATAAAAGCCATGTTGAGTGGCCCAGGTCAGTTTGCTGAGAACGAAACTAATGAAGTCAATTTTAGAGAGATTCCTTCACATGTGCTATCAAAAGTATGCATGTATTTTACCTACAGGGTTCACTACACTAACAGCTCCACAGAGATTCCTGAATTCCCAATTGCACCTGAAATTGCACTGGAACTGCTGATGGCTGCGAACTTCCTAGATTGTTAAATAAAATAAATGATAATAAACTGTTAACTTTTTTCAGTATTTAATACCTGTAGTTCAGTTAGTAATTTTTTCATATATAGCATGTTGCCTGTGTGCAGTTGAACTTTAAAGTTCATTGCAAAGCAGATTATCTTCTGTTCTTTTGCATAGCAATCAGTTGAAATTTGTTTGCTACATCAACAAATTAAGGACATTTTCACAAATTGAGAAATAAATATGCCAATTCGTAAAAAAAAGAAGATAAAATCCTTCAGTGGTGCAACATTAGAAAAAGTCAGGGCTGAGATAAGAGTGACCATTTCTAGTATGATTTAAATTCATCATTTTCTTCAATCCTGGAAGATCTCACCTGGAGGTTTTAGTCACTCTGGGGCTGAATCTGACCATCAGGCACTCTGTTCTGGCCTGCCCTATGTTTAACAATTTTTTAAATTAGTTGTGAACCTTTAAAGAAACTGGAGGTTTTACCAGAAAATCCTTATCTCTGGCTTCTCTTGAGAAATCTGGCAAGATGAGGTCTGTGCTCCTGAATGTAACACAGGGCCAGAGCAGAGTGGCCACTCCTGCCTTTAGACATAGAGGCTCACTGTCTAGGTCTCAAGGGCCTCCCGAGGCTCAGGTCACTCAGTAATCTCACCTGCTGGCCCTGAGGACTCTTGAATTTGCAGTCACTGCCTTAGTTAATGCAGGAAGATAAGAAATAGAAATAGTCATTACATAAATAACAAAAAGGACGAGGTAAAAAATACCATTTTTGAGGGAAGTGATTGTGAAGCTGGAAAACTCAACAGAATCAGCTGAAAACTCCTAAATGAATGAGAGTTACAGGAAGTCATCAAAGTAGATAGAAAAATCCATATAGCAAAAGGGGAGGAAGAACGGGTCTCATTTAGAATTAATGACAGCAACAATGCCTATGGATTAATTTAGCAAGAAATAATGCAGGACTTCTGTGAAAACTATAAAACCTTACTGAAGAGGGTAAAAGATGAAGACGAAGGACAAAAATGGCCATGGTCCCAAATAGTTGAAATTTATTAAATTGAAAACCCATCTCCAAAGAGTTGCTAAGACTCCTTGCCACCTTTTTTTGAGAAATGAGAGCAGTTGTGGGCTTGCTTTGCTCTGGGTGCCTGAGGAATTGGGGCTACTCTGGGGTGTTTCCCAAGAAATGGGGACCTGGGGATACAGGCTTTGATGACCCTTTGTGTTTTGGGTTATGAGACTCAGTAGTTGGTTAAATGACAGGCTGGACCTCCATTCTCTTTCTGGAGCTTTTTTCCAGCAGTTAGGGTTATTTAAC